AAGTGGAGCCCCCAGTGGCACTGCCCTGAGGGTCTCCCTGCAGGTGGAATCTGCAGAAGCCAGGACACTCTGCAGAAACCTTGTAAGTTCCCAGCATTCCGTGGCTTTTTCCAGTGAGGATGCAACAGCAGCTCTTGCTGACATGAGGAATGTGTATGTCAGCTCACTGGGAAGTAGAGTCAGATGCATGCTCTCTAATCGTTAAGTGCAATTAGATTGCTTTTTTCTGTGGAACTCACCACATAGTTGCTTATATATATATTTTTTATAAGATGGGGTCTATGTTGCCCAGGTGGGCCTCAAATTACTTAGCTCATGCCCAGCAACAGGGGATTTTTAAAGTAAAAGGTAGAGAATTAGGATGGAAATAGAGCACCAGGCAATCACTAGTAAGTCCAATATATGTTGAAACCCAGACAGGCATACATCTGTAATCCCAGCTACTCAGGAGGCTATGCCAGGAGGATTGCAATTCAAGGCCAGCCAAGGAAACTTAGTGAGACCCTGTCTCAAAATAAATTAAGGGCTGAGGATGTTGCTCTGTGGTAGAGCATCCCTGGCTTCAATCCACAGTACTGCCCGTCCTCCCCCGGACAAAAAAACCTTTGAAAACATAACCTCCAAATAAAGACAACAGCCCACCTAACATGGTACAACCACCTTCATGTGACCCAAACCACACCGACTCTTTCCCCCAAGGAAATACAAAGCTCCATTATTTATCACTGGGTAATATCATCCAGCTTCTAATTTAATTTAATCCCTTAAATTAAAAAAAAAAAAATGTTGGTATTGGGGATTGAACCCAGGAGCACTTTACCACTGAGCTACATCCCCAAACCCTTTTATGGTTGTTTTTATTTTGAGACAGTTTCTCACTAATTTGCTGAGGCTGGCTTTGCTATCCTCCTGCCTCAGCCTCCCAAGTTGGTAGGATTACAGGTGTGGACCACCCAACACAAATAAATTTTCTTTAACTTAAATACTGACATGTAAAGTTGTTCAGGTGTGGAACTATATGCTTATAGTTCCATCTATTTGGAAGGCTGAGTCAGGGGGATTCCTTGAGCCCAGGAATTTCAGGCCAGCCTGGACAACATAGTGAAACTCCATCTTAAAAAATAAGTAAATAAATAAAAACAAAGTTAGCCATGATTAGTACATTTTGTGTTATATGTTTGGGAAATGGGAGAAAGATAAAAATTGATTAAAATATAAACAATTGATTCATATAAAAATAAGGATGTAAAAATTACAGCCCTCATTTCTGCAACTGGTCACTTGGTCATAGCTGACATTTATTATTATATTTTTCCACAACTAGTCTGTATTCTCTTTGCCCACAGCAAGCACCCCAATGTGGCTGACCTTAACTAGAACTCTAAAAGGGAATTCTGGGAAACAGTTGGCTTAGGCTACCCCAGTGGCCTTCCCTTTATAATGAAACAGTTTCTATTTTAAACGTATCTATTAAGAACAATATCACTAGGCATGGTGTTGCACATCTGTAATCCCAGTAACTTGGGAGGCTGAGGCAGGAGGATCAAGACTTCAAAGCCAGCCTCAGCAACTTAGTAAGGTCCTAAGCATTTTAGCAAGACCCTTCCTAACTCACAATAAAAAATTAAACAGGGCTGGGAATGTAACTGAGTGGTTAAGTTCCCCTGTGTTCAATCCCTGCCCCCAATCAATCAATCAATCATCCAATAACAGCATTAATCATTTAAGGAAAATAATTAAGTCAGCAGTCACAAAGATGGATATAATACAAATAATATGCAAATGAGAAAAATATAGGAATTACCAACAGGATTGAACACTACCCCTTTGGCTTGAAAATCATGTGCTACCACAAAACCTAGCTCCTGCTTAGCTCGCCCCTTCATTCTGTTCCCTCTCTCCCAGAGCCCACCTTCCAGCTGTCCAGAAACACTGTCCCTAACCACTCCAGGTCCTTCTCTGACTCTCGGCACATGTGTGAATTCCATCTCCTCTCCAATCCCTAAGTTCTCACCTGCAAACACCTCTGGCCAGTCTAGATTCTCCCAGGAGGCTCCCTGGCTCCCCACAACCATCAGTTGCTCCATGCCCATGGTTATTTGTCTGTGTCTTTCTCTCCCACTGGGGACTCTTCAGTGAATGCTCACCACACCTGGAGCCAGCCTGTCTTTCACCTGCAGCAAGCCAGGCTCTTCCTCTCTCTCCTAAGACCAGACTTTGCCCATCTACCCCATTTTAAGTCACATTCTCCAAAAGTAGACCCAAGAAGACCGTTTCTGCAAGCAGTTAATCAAGATAACTCAACCAGGGAAGGGTAGTAAGAGATGGGGACACAGGGTAGGAAGGGGGAGAGGCTCGGGCAGTCTTGCCAAGGGAACCTGATCTTGTACCAGAGCAGAAGTAATACCCTCATGTTGTCCCGACCTCAGGCGAGGTAGCTGGCTTTCCCAGGCCCACACTCCAGTTTGTTCAGGCCTACTGCGGGGAGATCGACTCTCAGGCACTTCTGGTGCTGCATGAGGGGAAGAGCTTCAGGTGTTGGCTGCTGGGAGCTGAGCTCCCTGAAGTCAGGCCAGGGGTAGGGGGAACCCACACATCCATCCAGAGGGTCCATCCAAAAAGATGTGGGCTGACAATCAATGTTGGCTCCAGACCACTGTTTGCCTCATATACAACCACTCAATCTCATGTCGATTCCACTCCACATGAGGAACACATATCAAAGAAGGGGCAGTCTGTATGCCCTAGTCCCTGCCGAAGCTGTAGATGGCCCTGAGGCCATAACTGATACTCCTCATCTGCCCAATAACTTTGTTCTAGATGCTCTGCCTTTGGCACTTCTACTGGGTTTAGGGGACTGGTCTGAGGGGGTGACTCAGATCGTCACCCTGATGAGGTCAGGGCCCCTGGTGGAAAGATCTGGGTGTCCCATCCCCTTGGTGAATTTTACTTGGGTAAGTGGCTCTAGGTCCATTTGGAAGAGGGCTGAGAAAATCATTGCTGTCCATATACACCAAATGCAGTGGAATCATAAAGTCCTTCCTTAAGGCCCTGGCTTCTCTGGATCTAAGAAACTGGCTCAGATCTAGAAACTAGGAAAAAGATCAGAGATCATGACTTTCCTTTAGGGAAACTAACAGTGGCCTTCAAGGGCACCACTTGACTTTTTTTTGTGGGATATATATATATATATATATATAGATAGATAGATAGATAGATAGATAGATAGATATAGATATAGATATATAGATATAGATATATAGATAGATAGATAGATAGATAGATATCAATACCCTAGTTGACTGATCATTTCTCCACTCCCTGGGAACACCATGGTCACTACTCACCACCATAGACACCTCCGTTACATCTGAGCCTTCTGGTTGCCATTCCAACCTTACTTCCTACTTCATTAGTCATGTCCATCTTTCCCTTGGTGGTTAAGCACTACAGCTGGCCCCCTGCTAGCCCAAGATTCTGCTATACCCACTGACATGAGGGAGTCCAGCTCCATGACTGCACCTCCAGTGTCAGTCCTGATCTATCTACAGGAAACAGCCCCTGCTGAGCTTCCTGGTGAGGCCAGTGCCTCTCCCCTGCACATTCCTTTGCTCCTTCATGAGGGGAGTATCCATTTGGGCATGCTTTCTTGGTTCCTGCAGGTATATAACAGCCAGATCTTACATCTCCCTTGGTGAATAATTTTGTCTCTCCTTTTACAGAATTGGTCCTCCCCAAGCCAGACCACACTAGAGCTAGAAACCCGTTATAGGTCTCATCACCAGGAAGAGTGGTGGGGCAGGCCTTAAGAAACGTAAGCATCACCCTGAAAGGCATCTACCTCAATGAGACCTCTGCAAGGTCTTCAGACAAGGCAAGGGACACAAATGCAAAGGAAAATGGCCACATCTGCAGGCCCACTGGGTGGGGGAATTGCAGGACTCACTGACCTCAAACACATGACCCAGGGCTCATCAATCCAAGCCAAAGGAGCCCACTCTTTCTATATCAGGGCCCTGATGTGAGTCTGGTTCAGGCCTCTGTGAAGTTTCTCTGCTCCTGCAACCTCTTGCAATAGGCCCTGTGTCTGGTCTTTAGGAACCTGCCATTAGCTGAAGGAAATGAGGATTTTTTTCTATTTTATGGAGATGGGGATTGAACCAGGGCCTTGCACATAGGGTTTCTTTAAATATTGCATAGAGGCCTTCTTCATGTCCTTATGTGCCTTTAAATGACACCTGTGGACTCAAACCTCTCATTTCCCCTCCATCATGGAATTAACTGTACCCAGCAAAACCTACCAGTTCCAGGCTTTGCAATAACAATTTTCCCAACATGGTATCCTTTGATCAGATCCTGCCAGCAAACTTCATGTGAGTCACTCCTCCCTGCCATCCTGACCAGAAGCAGAAGAGCTTGGCTTGTCCCCCCATACCATCTTAATGGGCTAAGGGCCCCCAAAGAGAAGGCAATTCAAAGGGACAGCTAGCTTTCCTACATAGATAGAATCAAGGGATTCCAGAAGCCCAAAGGTCATCTTCCAAAAAAAAGAGTTGAGGATGTGTACTGTTGGAGATGAAATCGGGGAGCCAGTGAGACACAAGAATGACCAAAAACTCTGAGAGCATCTGACTGGTTAAGTCTTAGAATTAAAGACTCTCAGGACTGAGAGGGGACCCCCAGTCTCATGACCCCTCTCCAAGTGGCCATCCAATAGTGAGCTCTCACCATCATCCCAGCACTCCACACGGCAACTGGACTGAATTGATATAAAGCTTGTCCTTACAAAATGCTGAAATTGGCTCTTCCAATGAGGGTTTTACTGAATAGGCCCATTCTCTGGCCAAGGGACACAGGTGGAAGGAAGGGTCTGAGGTGAGTATTGGGCAAAGAGAATGAATACTAAGTTCCTGCTCTAGAATACCCAGGCAGTTTTTCCTTAGAAATGAAGACCTGAGGGGAGACACAAAATCCAGAGGTGAAATCACAAAGACAGGACACTGTGTTTCTTCACTTTATTTTTTATGTTTTGTTTCTCACTTACCAACACATGTGTAAAATGTGGCAGGCTGTGTTAGTAAAGGAGAAGCAGGGAGGGGAGAGAGGGGCAGGAACTAAGCAGCCACGTGGGAAGTCAGGTTGGCCAGGAAGAGCCTCAAGCCCAGAGGTGGCCAGTGACATCCTCCACCAGCTCACCTTCCTATGAGGAATCAGCAATTGCTACTGCTCATACAGCCCCTGTCCTGGACGATTTGGTAAACATGGTTAATAACCTTTCTGTTCCTCCTAATCTTTGTCCCCAACATTCTTCACACATCCTGGGGCCAGAAGGCAAGGTCTGTTCAGGTGCCCCTCCCTTATCCTGATCCAAGAAATCTCTGCTCCCAGGTCTCAAGGAGTCAACCTCTGGGCAGCATCTGAGCAGCTTGGCTGGGTGGGGCTATCTTGGAGATCTTTCCTGGGGAGGCTTCTTCCAGACCTTGGAGAGCCCTCCCAGAATGCGCTCTGTTTCAGCTACAGGCTTCTCTATTCCAGGGAATATTAAAGGGCCTCCAGTGGATTGAGACATTGCAGCAGAGGCCTAGAACCTGCCTCTAACACCTGCTCCAATTCTGGGTTCCCCAGGGGGGAAAGGTTTTACCTTCCACCCAGAGCAGGACTTCCTGGCACTTATTTGCACATTGACCCCATAGACACCGTGACCCTGTGTTTATGAAAACAGGTATTTTCATCAGAATTGTATCCAGCCCAATAGATTTTCATACTGGCAAGTATTTTCAAGGCAAATGCCACTGAGGACAATTCAATGCCTTGATCAGTTTCCTACATAGTGCAGGTAAGTTTATTTTTTCCCTGTTTTTTTTTCTCCTTTAAATAATTTTCACCAGGATCCATTATTTTCCGTGTGTGCCTCACTAGATTTATTTTATTCCCTGGTGAGTGTTTGGTCCATGTCAAACATCCTCAGTTGTCCTGGGGAGTGTTCTCAGGCTGTTCTTGTTTCTACTAAGTCCAATTTTCCCAGGGGAAAATTTTTGGCAGCCCTCTCGCTCATGGGTTTCCCCAAGTGCTGTTTTAGCCACAGTGGCTGTTCTCTTGTGGATGATTTCTGGGGGTGGATCTCTGAACCTGGCACTTCTCAGGGAATATGGGGGATGATGGTAGTCTTTTCGTTCCCAAGGATATTCCAGGATGATCCGGGAGACGTTGTACTGGGGTCATGACCACGAACTGGGGTCGAGGTGTCCATCCCACTCCATGTGGGGCTTCTCACCCTCCACTCATATGGAGGGTGCTTGAAAGAGCACCCTCCCCGCCCTGGATGCCCCGTGCTTCAAGGCTGACCCCTTCCTGCTCCTGGCCCTCTGCCTTCTGTTGCAGAGATGCGCACCCGCATCATGAAGCCTTGTTGGTGGATGCTGTGGCCCCGGAGGCCTGCTGGGCGCGCGATGGGCCAGTAGACGGCGCCGGCCTCGAGGCCCGCAGCAAGCCAAGGCCACGCGAGCGGCCAGCTCCATGCAGCTGGCGCTCGTGGCGGCGAATCTGCACCTTGTGGCGGAAGCGCTCGCCACAGTCCTCGCACACATAGGGCCGCTCGCCCGAGTGTGTGCGCCGGTGACGCAGCAGATTGGAGGAGACACTGAAGCGCTTGCCGCAGTCGCCACAGGCGTAGGGCCTCTCGCCAGTGTGCGTGCGCTGGTGCTGCACAAGAGCTGAGCTCTCGCTGAAGCGCTTGGAGCAATACGAGCAGGCGTAGGGCTTCTCGCCCGTGTGGATGCGCTGGTGTGTCACCAGGTTGGAGTGCTGCGAGAAGCCCTTGCCGCACTCACCACAGCGGTGCGGCCGCTCGCCGGTGTGCGTGGCCTGGTGCCTCACTAGGTCCGTGCTGCGGCTGAAGCCCTTGCCGCACTCTCCACAGATGGTCGGCCGGTCCCGCGCGCGCCGTCGCCGCCGCTGCCGTGCTGGAGTGAGCGCGGCGCTGCCCGCTGGGCCCGGGATGGCCACCACTGTTGACGTGGCCACGGCGGGCAACACCATGAGCTCTTGCAGCACCACGTAGCCTGGGGGGGCCACCACAACAGCCGCTGGAGCCCCTGGGACAGTCGCCGCGCTGCTCCCTGCAGCGGGAACCAGCTCCAGCTGCAGTTCAGGCTGCACAGGGGTCAGCTCCAGTTGCACCTCCTGCTGCTGGGTGCCCAGCTCCACGGGGGTGAGCTCCAGCTGTACCTCCTGCTGCTCCAGCTGCTCCTGCTCTAGCTGCTGCTGCTCCAACTGTTGCTCCAGCTGCTGCAACTGCTCCTGCAGTTTGAGTTGCAGCTGCCGCTGCTCCTCCTGCCGCTCCAGTTCCTGCTGCCGCTCTAGCTCCTGCCGCTGCTGCTCCAGCTCCTGCTCTGACCCCAGGTCCACTGGCATGAGCTCCAGTTCCACCTCTTCCTCCTCCTCTGGCTCCAGTGGAGGAGGCTGCTGCTGCTGTAGCTGTTCCTGATGCTGTTGCAATAGCTGTTGCTGTTGCTGCTGCTGTAACTGCTCCTGCTGCTGCAGCAATAGCTGCTGCTGTATCTGTGCCTGCTGCTGCTGCAGGAGCTGCTGCTGTAACTGTGCCTGTTGTTGGTGCTGCAACAACTGTTGTTGTAACTGTTCCTGCTGCTGTAGCAACAGTAGTTGCTGCTGCTGTAGCTGTTCCTGATGCTGTTGGAACTGTTGCTGCTGTAATTGTTCCTGCTGTTGTAACAGTTGCTGCTGTTGTAGCAGTTGCTGCTGCTGTAACTGTTGTTGCTCTTGTACTTGCTGCTGCTGTAACTGTGCCTGTTGCTGCTGTAAGAGCTGTTGCTCTTGCACTTGCTGCTGCAACTGTTCCTGTTGCTGCTGTAAGAGCTGTTGCTCTTGCACTTGCTGCTGTAACTGTTCCTTTTGTTGCTGTAAGAGCTGTTGCTCTTGCACTTGCTGCTGTAACTGTGCCTGTTGCTGCTGTAACTGTTGTTGCTCTTGCACTTGCTGCTGTAACTGTTCCTGTTGCTGCGGTAACAGCTGTTGCTCTTGTACTTGCTGCTGTAACTGTGCCTGTTGCTGCTGTAAGAGCTGTTGCTCTTGTACTTGCTGCTGTAACTGTGCCTGTTGTTGCTGTAAGAGCTGTTGCTCTTGTACTTGCTGCTGTAACTGTGCCTGTTGCTGTAACTGTGCCTGTTGCTGCTGTAAGAGCTGTTGCTCTTGTACTTGATGCTGTAACTGTTCCTGTTGCTGCTGTAAGAGCTGTTGCTCTTGTACTTGCTGCTGTAACTGTGCCTGTTGCTGCTGTAACAATAGTTGCTCTTGCACGTGCTGTTCCTGTAACAGTGCCTGTTGCTGTTGTAACAGCTGCTGTTCTTGTACTTGTTGCTGTAACTGTTCTTGCTGCTGTTGCAAAAGTTGTTGCTTTTGCACTTCCTGCTGTAACTGTTGCTCTTGCACTTGCTCTGGTACCTGTCCCTGTTGTTGTATTACCTGCACTTGTGGTTTCAGTTCTTGGTGTTGCACAGATTGGTGGTTTTCCTGTAGCTCCAGCTGTAGTTGAGGCAGATGCCGTTGCCCATCCTTCTGTTGCTGCTGCTGTTGCATTTCTGGCTGATGTTCTAATAGTTGCTTCTGTGGTTGCTGCTGTTGAGGCTGCTCCTGCTGGGGCTGTTCTTGCAGCTCTGGCTGCTGCTCTAGCTGTTGCAGTAGCAGCTCTTGTTGTCCCGGCTGGGCTTCTTCAGCAATGTTACTGGCCCCTATTGGGGCTAACACTGATGGCTGTTGTGGGCCACTGTGCCCCTCCTGAGCCTCTTCCTCCTCCTGACTCTCACTCCCACCGCTGCCACCTGTAGTGGAAATGGCAGGAAGCTAGGAGAGAAGGATCTATAGGAAGCTCTCTAGTCTAGCCCTCTAGGACCTGCCCATATACAGTCACTCAAGGACACACTAACAAGTTCTCAGCAGGGACCCAAAAATGTTAGATCAATTGATAATAGCAGCATGACAGAAACTGAAATGCCAGGGGTGGGGGATGTCCAAGTGACCATTGGTCACTATACTCTAGACCCCACCCCCACCCCTCCTCTGGGCCTCCCTTCACACAAGCTCCATGATTAGATCTTGGCACCAATATTAGCATGGGTGCCTGGGGCTCCCAACATCATTCCCTCAGGAGTCCCTTGCACTTCACTGTCCAGTGGAAATCCCAGCAGCCATTCCAACAGCCCAGCTCATGCTCAACTCTGACCTCAGTGATGGTCACATCTTAAATAAATGAAACTTGCCTTCTCTGTAAATAATAAAACATTTCTGTAAAGCTGCCTAGAAGGACTACCACAAGTAGTTTCTAGAAATCACCAAAGTATCAGAGAGACTATCAGGTTTCAGGTGGGAAGTCCTCATTTGAGAACCTAATTCTTTCAGTTCAACTGTTCAACTTCCTACAGACTCAAAGGCTCTGCATGTTCCCCAGAACCCGGCAGGTGCTTGAAAATTACCTCTCCCAACAGGTTAGGAATTAGTCTATGAAGTAACAACAGTTCGGAAATACTCAGGATACAACTAGCTCCATTTGAAGCACCTAAAGACCAAATAGAAAGGAATGGAAAGAACTAAGAGCCCCAAGTCAACACAGAGGCTGGCCAATTAATTAACTGCTGGGAACCTCAGTTTCTCCTTTTGCAAAAAGAGATATACCCTCAGAAACACAGTGAGAACTGGGATAAATGTAGAGCCCCAGTGTTGTGCGAGGCGCAGAGGAAATCTTGCACACACAGGAGCCACACTGGCTATGTTCTGCCTTCAGCACAATGTCCACATTCAGCTTCTCGTTCTGAATATTACTGTTGTGCTATCAGAAAATCCTAATTCTTCTTTATAAGTGTGAGTCAAGGAGCTTTCTCCACCTCAGACAGATTTCAACACGTGTTCTTCCTACAGCATCATATTTTCAATCATGAAATGGAAAGCAATGGTTTGATTGATAAAATTTTACTTTCTGAGGGCTGGGGTTGGAGCTCAGTGGCAGAGCCCTTGCCTTGCATGCGTGAGGCCCTGGGTTCAATCCTCAGCACCACATAAAAATAAATTTTATTTATTTATTTATTTATCGTCCATCTACAACTTAAATAAATAAATAAATTTTACTTTCTGGCCACTTTTCCAGGAATATACTGATTTAATAAAAACATAGGATATTTACATATTTTATATTTAATAAAAACAGAGGATATTTGCATATATATAATTCCTTTTAGAAAAATATTTCTAACAACCCTTGCTTAGTATAATAGGTCAATGACAGCCTTTTTATAGACACTCACACCAATTGGGGGTTCTCTGATGATGGATGAAGACAGCCATGAAAACCTGTCCCTATAGCAGGACTGAAGTCTCTTAGACACCCCCTTCTCCCACCTCCTCTGGAAGCCACAGATCACACCTCTGTGTGACTCTCCTCCTTTCTAGCTTAGCTACTTAGCCACTGTGACTTCCTAGGGCAGCATTTTTTTTCACCTTTAATAGAGACACTTTAGTAAATATGTAGTTACATGTTGCCTGACATGTATAACCTCATAAGATTTTTTGTCAGTTCAATGTATAAGTCAGAAGAGTCCCTGTTTAGTGTACTTGTCCCCATTGCCCCAGGCCCTACTCAGCTCCTTAAAGCACCCAACAGGAAACAGTCTCATGAGTATGGCCACCATAGAAGGCTCACCCAGATGGGTCCCAGAGGGAGAGCTCTTGGAAGATTTGGTGAAGCCACATTTTTGCCTCTGAGCATCAGGTAGAGAAAAACATAGGGAAGCAGAGGTCAGGAGAAGGGGACAAGGAGAGAAACCTCAGGGAAGGGAGCGAGCATCTGAGGCACAAGCTGCAGAGGAGGAATGGCTTTCTGCTCCTCAACTCCTTTTGGGAACCAGAGCAGGGTGCAGGGTGGCCCCACACACAGCAGGACAGTGGAGTCACTGGGCTGCTGGGGCAACTGAGCAGCAGGTTCAGGCCAGCAAATATGTGGGGGTCAGGGCAGAGGCCATCAGTACTTCCAGGGTACCCCTCGATAACAAGAGAGCAGCCTGATAGAGATGTCCGAGAAAATTCCAGGACAAACCTGCAGTTGTTATTCAAGGCATGGAAGCTAGCAGGTGTGAAGCAGTGCAGGGGGATGGCTGCCCTGGGGCATCTCTGCACTGGCATACCTGGGGCATCTCTGTACCAGCATACCTGGGGCTCTGTCAGAAGGTCCCTGCTAGGGGCCTCTGCCTCCAGCACTCACCTGAGAGGGCAGCAGGCCCTGGACCCCCATCCTCAAGACAGCGCAGCTCCAACACTAAGGTCTCTGTGGCTGGCCCCACCTCCATCCTGGTGGTCACACCGGGGTCCCCGGGAGCCGGCTGTGCTGAGAAGAAGGAAAGAAGCTGTTCAGATAGGAGGTGGTTGCAGCTCCTGGTCCCTGTTGCTGTGCAGAACAGCTGGCAGGCCAGCTTCTTCTGACTATTATTCACAGGATTCCATCTTCACCTGATCAGGCTGCTCCTAATTGAGACACAACTGTGGGGATTAGCCACTCACAAAGGCTGGGAGCTAGAGCCACAGAAGAAGCATTAGGGGTCCTCTTGGACCATCTAAGTCACGTTCCCTGACCGCTTCAAACATGGGCCTGTTGGTCTCCAGGGACTCCAGTGTCACAGACTGCTCTGGGAGCTCACCAGCTCTCTGGAAAGGCAGGTGTCCAGAGCACTGTAAGCCATGGCAGGGCGGCCTGCCTGTCTGTGCTCCTCAGAGGTGGCCTCCTTGCAGAGGTGGCCCCACATCCAGGCCTCCCTTCCCCACCCAGATTGCCTCCAGCTCCCTCTGGCCTGTCAAAGCCAGCCCAACCCTCCTAAGAAGGGCGTCTGGGCACCCAGCGTGAATTCCCCTGGGCCTCACCTGGTACAGCATTTCCTGCTGGCTGCAGCCTCTGCACTAGGGGAGGTGTGGTCAGCAGAGGCTGCAAGGTGAAGGCCACAGCATTCAGCCGGCTCCTTCCGGAGGCGCCTCCATCCAGAAAGAGCCTGGGAGGCGCCTGCCACCCCGGGGCCTTTCTGGGCACTCGGCAGGGTTTGCGCTGTCAGAGATGCCCAGGTCGCCCTGGGCCAAGACAAGGGGCAGAGTGGAGTTCCCGGGCAGAAGTTAGTGGAGACTCTCGGGCGGGGGCGAGGACGGGAGGCAGAGCCCCGAATTCCGCGCGGGACTCAAGGCTGGCCCTGCGGGACCATCGCGCGCAGCAGGGCCGGGGCCAAAGCCCTAGGTTGGCGCTGCAGGATGGCGGGGTCTTGGGTTGGCTGGGGACGGGCAACACAGGTCCTGGACGGCCGCTGGCCACAGGTGCCCAGAGCCCGAGGGCGGCCTGAACCGGGCCGCGCTGGCCGGGGCGGGGGGCGGGCGCCACGGCCGGGCCGGGTCCCCGTTCGCTCGCCCGCCCGCCAGTGCGTGCGTCCGTGCGGGCAGCTGGCCGGGCCGGGGCGGGGGCGCGGGGGCCGGCACAGGAAGTCCCCCCGGCATCCGCATCCTGTCCCCCGCCCCTGCTGCCCGCTGCGCCCCCGCGCCCCGGCCCCCGCAGCCGCCGCCGCCGCTGCCGCCGCCGCTCTAGGCCGCCACCAGCTCGGTGGGCTTAACCCTTCCCGGCCCGGCCACTCACCCGGGCGGGGGGGATAAGATGCGCGGCCCTGTGTGCGTCCCGGGCCGCTTGGTGCCGAGCGCAGCGCGCGCTGTGCAGCATCCCTGGTGCGCGTATCCGCGCTCCAACGTTGGACACTGTCGCTGCATGGATGCGGGGAAAGGGGGCTCCCAGCCAGGCCCCTGCTACCCACTGAAGGGCAGGCATGGCCTCAGGACACCCCTGGCAAGGGTACAAATCATGGCTAATTAACACTTAATTAGAAGAACTCAGTTAATGAGGAGGTCCCATCCTGGCCTAGGTCCCCAGAGAGGCAGACCAGGTTCACACTTTGGACCCCTTCTCCTGGACCCTGATTTGGCTAGGACAGGCAGGCAGATAAACAGCTGTAATACAAATGGACCCAATGGACCATCAGGACCACCCTTTGAACTGGCAGAGCTGGCTCATCCTTCTCTGTGTCTTTGCTCCCTTTCTCTAATCACAAGATCCCTGTGGTCAGGCCCTCCTACCTCTCCCACCCTCTGCCCTCCTCCAGACCCTTCTCCCCAACTGTGTTGGGTCATGATCTTTGTGGCTTCTTTTTCTTTCCTGTCATGCCAGGCTGCTTCCTCTGTGGGTTTTGGGTCTCCTCACAGGGAGTCCTGACCTGATCATCTCCATATCCCCTCACTTTATTTTCCTGTCCTCAGAACACAGACCTCTCCAATCTAGAGAATTCACTTGAAGATTGTGCCGCTCACATCTCTAGAAAAACCCAAAGAGCTGGTAACCGAAAGCCTTTCCTGGAGTGGAGTGGGAATGCCTCACTGGAGAGAGTCAAGGGCTGTCTTGGAGTCATAGTCCTGCCTACCTTCCTGGCTCCCTACTTACAACACTATTGCACATGTGGATTCTTCCCAGTACCCACAGGCATGGGAGTTTGGGGTTTGTCCAGTGGCTCTTGCCTGAAAACCTTGTGCTCACAGCTCCAGAGGACAGAGGCTCACATTGGATTCATTGGGGGAACAAGTGCAGCAATAAGAACCTGGCTTCCAAGGCACAATAACCTGGGCTTATGGGGACCTCGTGCAACTAAATAATTTGAGACAGGGTAATACCTGTCAGCCAGAGGTGCAAGCACAAGTGAGTCAACAAGGAGGATGTGGATAAAGGGTGGTTGCACACTTCCCTCCCCTGGGAGGGCCCAGGGTGAGGGAAGGCAGAGCTATCTGCTTCCTCCTCTGCCTAGGAGACTGCAGATTCCCCAGGACCACCTCACTCCTCCTATCTTTAAGCCTCTCCCTCTGCTGGATTCTTTCCAATAGCATTTACACATCGTCAGGGCTCTCCCATCTTCAATCATGAAACCCCACCTATCTCTTCTCTGACCATTCCTCCTTCTCCTCTGCCCCATCACTCCACCCAGACACCTCCCTGTAACCTTCATGTCTAAATCCCTCATCTTCTCCTGTCCAGAGTTCCTCTAGGCCACACTGACCTTCTACTGGGCTGCTGAAAGAAAAACACCTGGTTCTCTCCTCCTCTTGGTTGGTCTACCCCTTCTCTGTGGACTGTGCGTCCTTCTGTAGGTTCATGTTCACCTCTGCATAATTATAACATGCAGTAAGGGGGTCAGAAGGAAGCAACAACCGTTTTCTCTCTGTGAGTATTTCTCCTGTCCATTCCTGAGCACCTGATCCAACAGCCACATTTTTCTTCTTTTTTGTTTCTTTACTTTTTATCAAAGGTGATATACATACCCAGTTGAATAAGTCCAACAATTCTATAAGGCTTTTAGCAATAGCAACACAAACCTCTCCTCCCTTCTGCTTCCATTCCCATTTTTCCTGTACTTTTGCCATGTTTTTAAATAACATGCTTATAATGTTATTACTTGATTTTTCCATCTTAGACAGTATCCATTAGAAGCTGAAGACAAATCTAAACCACATATCCATGGGCACACTTTCCCTCTCCTCCTGTTGTTGTATAATAAAGAATTTGTTTGTTGTTACCCTCTGTTCTTGGGGATGAGCTTTATGCCAAAGAGGCGACCCCTGGAAGGCCTTTAGGAACTTTGGGATGGGGGCCAATCACACCAGAAAGACACTCTGTCTTTCATGTTAGAGGTTGAGGTGTTGAGCTATGTGATATCAACGTGACCCCTGGTGAGAAATTGGGACTGACATTTTACTTTAATCATGTGGCCAATGATTCAATGCATATGCCTAGGTAATGAAACCTCCCACCCACACAAAAAAACAAAACAAAACAAAATTCTGGAGGTCAAGATTCCTGGCTGGTGGTCAACAGCAATGTGCCAGAGGGTGAGAATATGGAAGCACTATATTCAGGTCCCTTTCAGGCCTTGCCTTATAGGTCACCTCATAGACCATGGCTGGTACTGGTTTATATTCTTTAAAGTGAAACTATGATCATAACATTGTGCTTTTCTGAGTTCTGTGTGTTGCTCTAGTGAATTATTAAACCTGAGCTGGTCATGGGAACTTCCAAATATGCAGCCAGATGGTTAAGAGTGGACTCGGCACTTGCAACTGGTGTCTAAAGTAATAGCAGGTTTGTTGGAATCTTCTACCTGGAGCCACCAGGTAGTGGAACCTCAGTCTGGCTGAGCCTAGAAAAGTCCAGCCAGGAAAACAGAAGAACTCTTAAGTAATTACACAGAACACTGAACACAGATGGCTAAAAATATGTTAAAAGGGTTGCAGTACTACCAAGGGGAAGATGAGAATACTGGAAATTAGTATCCCTAGGACAAGAGGAGCAAAGAGGAAAAGTGATACTGTAGGGAGTCACAGAGCTATTCAAGTAATTGCTGTATGTTGGGAGCGGCGGCAGCATGGTTGGAAATGTGAAAATGAAGCAAGAACCTAGAAGCCCACACTCACCAGCCATCACTGAAGGTGCCACCAGAAGCAAGAATTGTCCTACGTCCCAGCCAGACTTCTGATCTCTCAGAATCTAGCCAGAAGTCAGCTAGCCAGGGAATCCTGGAAATGTAGTTTGCAGTCTTCCAGTCTCCTGCCATATTGAGGAGAGCAGGAAGCCAAATCAAGAGGCAATGGATAAATAACTGGCACATTCAATGAGTCTGTAGAGTAGGGCCATTGGCGGCCCATTTGGAAATGTGGACATTTGGGGGCTAAGCTACTGAGAATAATGCTGGAGCTACCACTGGTAGTAGATTGGGAAGTAGATTTTCCTCCTTCTCCTCCTTTTTCCTCCTCCTTCTCCTCCTTTTCCTCCTTCTCCTCCTCCTTTTCCTCCTTCTCCTCCTCCTTTCCCTCCTACTCTTCCTTCTTCTGATGGGGTCTTGCTGTGTTGCCCAGGCTGGGGTTGAACCCATCAATCTTCCTGCCTCAGCCCTCTAAGTAGCTGGAATTACACACACCTGACTTCTTTAGTGCTCTTATTAAGAAAAGGTATCTGGTGAGTACCTCTTTGGGAACCATGTGATGATTAATTTTATGTATCAACTGGATTGGGCCATGGGGTGCCCAGACATCCGGCCAAACATTACTCTAGGAGTGACTTTGAGGGGGTTTCTGGATTAGATTAACAATTTAATCAGGAGATTGAGTAAGATGGATTGTTTCCCCTAATGTGAGTGGGCCTCACCAATCAACTGAAGACCTGAATGGAACAAACAGGCAGAGGAAGAACCTCTCCTGCTGACCAAGCTGAAACATAGTCTTTCATGAACTGAAACTTTTTGTTTTTTCTTGGTCCTTGAATTTGCCATCTTTCACACTAGAGTTTTGACTCTGCAGGTTCTCAGCCCTCACACTTGAACTATAACTAGACACTGGCTCTTCTGGATCTCCACTTACCAACCGCAGATCTTGGTATTTCTCAGTCTCCACCATTGTGTGAGGTAATTCTCTGAAGAACACTGTCTGAAAAGTCTGTACTCTCCCACTTGACTGGGCACAGATTATTGGCACTTGCATGGCTTGATTTTAGCTTCCAGCATTGCTAAAGGGGGTATCGTGTGCCATTTGACTCCTGTTCTTTACATGTGAGAAGGAAAACCAGTGGGCCAAGAGGAAGACCCTGAGGGGAAGTGGAATGCAACAGACTCAGATCTGCACCTGGACTGTGGCTGTGGGGCTGTGGGAGGCTTACTGGAGGTGACACAGGTTTGTAATATGCTCTGGGGAGAGTGACAGACAGTACTGAGCAGCACTGGCTCTCCTATCTAGTATGTATATCAAATCATGCCCTGGTGGTGACCCAGTGCACAAATTTTGGGTATGATTCCTCAGACAACTCCCCGGTTTCTGTTCTTGGAGCACCATGTACCTGCAGCACTTTGCTACAGATTGAATTTTGTATTCCTCCAAATTTGTGTGTTGAAATTCTAACTTCCATGGTGATGGCATTAAAAGTTGGATCCTTTGGGAGGTGATTAGCTCATGGGAGCAGAACCCTCTCAAATGGGATTAGTGCCCTTGTAACAGAGGCCCAGAAGGGCCCTCAGTCTCTTTCCACCTTGTGGGGACACAGTAAGAGGATAGTAGTCTATGAATCTGGAAGCGGGCCTTCACCAGACTCAATCTACACACCTTGATCTTGGACTCTCCAGCCTCCAGAACCATGAGAAATAAATTTCTGTTGTTTGTATAAGCTGCCCAATTTCTGGCATTTTTTGGTTTTGGTAGCAGCCACAATGAACTAATACACATTTCATGATTCTAATTTTGCAATCTGATTAGAGTCTGTCTCCCTCATGAGATACCAGATACACAAGTCAAGGAGTACCCAATGAGTGTTTGTTGAATAAACTAATCGGTGAAATCAAATTGTCATGTTACATCTACTAATATAGCAAAAACTACTCATCATAAGAGCCATCTCCTACCCCCAGTCCACAGAGGTGGACATCTGGCCCACACTAAGCAGACC